TAATAATAATAATAATAATAATAATAATAACAGTAATAAAAAAATGACACTAACATAATTATGACCCGTAGGCTATACAAGCCTTGGGATGAGTTGTTCGACTCGCAATATAGAAAAACAACTTGATTTGTGAAACACAGTCGAATTCGGTCGCATTCGGTCCAATTTCGCCCAAAAGGCATTTTGCTTCTTCAAAAAGGAAAAAATTCTGGCTGGCCCCAACTGAATCAAATGAATTCGATGGGCAGCGTGCACTGGGTAGGCCTATAGTAGCTTCTCCCCTTCCAATATGAAGGGAAATGTGGCCGGCACATAATGAGTCTAACGAATTCAATTGGCAGTGTGCACAAGGTATAACCATAGTATAACCACGTAGTGCACACCACAGAAATGGCAATCGATTAATTCTACTGTGGCCTTCACAATCAAACGTGTTTGTTTTTCAAGGTCTCGCGTCAAATCGGTAGCACTGTACCAGAATGGTAACTTTCCCCCCTCCTTTGAGGAACACATCGCCGGCCCCGACCGTTCTATTGAATCTCATTGGCCCCATAAAACCAAACTCGACTTAATTCAACTGTGACGTTCAAAATAGAAACGTTTTCTTTTCACGAACCGAAACCAAAAGGCGACCTGAACATTAGGACACACAAAATAAGAATCGGACAAGACCCACTTGTTGTTGGTAGACAACAGGTGCATTTGGTTAATATCGTACTTCCCGCGCAGACCACTTTTTTCAGTGCCTGGGCACCTACAATTTGTCCAAGGAGACAAGGTCGCAATTTTGACCCCTTGCTGGCTTTGGTTACCACTATCTACAAGAAACTGTTTCCTGATCTTTCTATGGCGCATGGACAGGAAAATTTGCTATTCCCAATGCCCATGTTTCAAAGGTAGCCTAGTTTGGCCTTTAGAAGTGCCCTAAAGATATCAAGGCAGCAGCCTTGACCTAACGGACGCAGGAAATCCCTCGCAACAATGTTTACCAAACAGCCTGTTAACTGGTTCTCTCTTTATCTCTATCCCCCCCCCCAAAAAAAAAAAAACCCACCACACACTCCAAACCAATCTTTAATCGTTTCAGTCCCATAGAGGTTCTCAAAAGTGCTAACCTACTGTGGCTGTGGGTAAATTCAACATACATGTACTAGGTACGTTTATTTGGATTCCTACAGGCTATACGTTGTATTCACTGTTTCAATGAAAGTAAGCTTTAACAAATTACACTAACAACTATGTCACTCCCAAAATTATTCCTTGTACGTTCGCTGTCACTCGCTGTATATTTGAGTAGTTAAACAAGCAGAAATAAATGAAATTAATATGAATGTTTAATTGCGAGATGAAAAAAACAACAAAAAGCCTACGGATTTTTAATCCATAAAAAGTTAAGTGGAATTGGCTATCATATCTAGATTGGGGTATATAGTACAGGCCTATTATTATATAAAATTATAGAAAAAGTGCCACTGGATAAGAAGACACGCTGGATCATGGACTGTGTGTTTTCACAAAAATTACTTATTATGTCTTACCCTGAGCTTTATAATTTCAGCCCGTACCCCCCCTCCCCCCCAAAAAAAATAATCGGAAAAGAAATTCCTATTCTACCGCCACATATGTCGTGTTTACATCTTTGGATATCAGTTAAACTATCAATAGATGTAATTGAAAACAAGGCAACATGAATAGGCATGAAGAAATGATAACTCCTACATCCATCCCTAAAAAAAGAATCCATACTCACATTTATTCTAATAATTTAATATGTGCACCTCAGACTTCGGCAGATGTTTCACCATCGTACGTAGAGGACCTGAGTTCAATTCCCCTAGGGGGAGAATGTTTATCGAGTATCTCCATCTTTCTACTAGGACGTTATGACATGTATCCCTCTCAGCCTGGGTTAGCCCTGACGGGCTGGGTCGAGCCCCGCCTATAAAAGAACGAAATAAAATATAATACATGCATATTCAACGGTGAAAAGAACAAATAATCGTTTAAATATCTAGGATATTATAATATGATCAAATCTGATGCCAAATGTTCCACAAAAATAAAACAAAGAATTAAAATGTCAAAAGTTAGTTTCAATAACACAAGCTCAACCTTGAAAAACAGAAACAGCTCAATGACTTAACCTTTTAGTAAGCGTTTTACGGCACTTGCTACACAATTAGATCATATAAGTGCCAACGATTAGAGGTGTTGGAGCGTAACAAACACATTTTTAAAAAAGAGGAGAGGTCAGGACAATAAATATTTGATAGGATCGAAGGAGCAAACCATACCAGAACACCCACCAATCATCCGCAACTCAAAGTAAAAATTCTAAACGGTTATACGTGTTCAACGCTGGACAGTCACTAAAAACAGTGAACATAAACAGAAGCTACAGATAGATGGTCTCTTAGAGATTGTTGAGACGTTCTTGGAAGGAAAAGTAATAAAATAAGGTAGTACTCGAAGATGTCTTCGTGGGCTGGTCTTAGATAAAAACAACCAAGAAGAGACAAATCCAGTTTCTACGACAGATGAATAGACATTAAGGCACTGGACATCTAGACCTAGCTCTCACTGGTAAAATTGAAGGCAAACGACGCAGAGGTAGACCAAGAGCAATACTTTGAAAGCCTAAACAGATGAGTGTTGGAGACAGATCAGGATAATACAGCTTTTTTGAGAGCATCCGAGAAAAGGAATGGATGGTGAACCATGACCGTCGATGTTTGTTGCAGATCTGGCAATCAATAACACACACGCGAGCGCGCGTACACACACACACGAGCGCGCGTATACACACACACACACACACACACACACACACACACACACACACACACACATACACACACACACACACATACACACACACACACATCTATTAATTATATTTAACGCACCCAGATTGAACCTAAGAGAAAGAGAGATCAATGGAGAGAGAGAGAGAGAGAGAGAGAGAGAGAGAGAGAGAGAGAGAGAGAGAGAGAGAGAGAGAGAGGAAGAGAGAGAGAAGATGGATGGGAGGGAACGCTATGGAAACATTTGTACCCAAAAGCTATTGTCGGAGGTCAGTGACCACATAGAGACTTTCACGCTTGCATAACTTCCCTGTGAACGTCCAGGCAAACCCAACACACCTGAGCGCCCGGCCCAGTCAAGTTCTGATCCTAGGTTAGCCGGCTTCCCAACACAGACCTGGCTCCACTAATGCTCCTATCTAACGGAACTGATCGATAACTGTGTGTGATAGAACGAAGAATTTCTGAAGTTGTCAGCTGTTCGATCAGCCTGAGACATTAATCTTCTATTAATCACGCAAGAAATGTGGACATACTAATTTCTATCATGACCAAGAAGCCAGAAGTTGAGGAAACCAAACGAAACAGGAGTGAATTCGTACTGGACTTTTTCTGTCGCTGGGCAGTTTGTGATAATACCCCTAGAGAAGTGCGGGGAGCCATTGCATGGGAGACCAAGAGTCACACAGACTCTCTGAAGCTATAGAAGTAAGTAAGCCGCCGTGATAATATTATTGTTCTGAGATTGAGGGTGGCTTAAAATAAACAGGTCCAACGTGTTTGATACAATCATTATAATCGAAAGCGAAATTTGACTAGGAAAGCGTGGGTTTTTAATTATGGAGAATTGCGGCTTGGCCCGCGTAGGTGATCTTCTGTTTTATTTACCTGAGAGGTTCTGTGTAAAGGTGTAAACAGCTAAAGACATCTACTTTTATATTTTAATTACGCACCTTTTACCCTCCCCCCCTCCCTGTGTTGCTCTCAGAGCAGATCA